GGCTGTGGCTGCCCCAACCCTGGCAGTGTTCAAGGCCAGGCTGGATGAGCCTTGAGCAACCTGATCTAGTGAGGTGTCCCTGCCCAGGGCAGGGGTTGGGACTACATGTTCTGTAAGGTCCATTCCCACCCCTAAATTCTGTGATTCTATGATGATTCTATTAAATACCTGTATCCTTTTAATTAGCTAATGGCACCAACTTGTGAGTGTCATATGAACTCTCTTCCTTGAGTTCTAAGTCATCTCTGCTCTCAAGAACGCTCTGTGTTGGAGCATTGTCATATCTAAATACTATCCCAGTACTTGTGCCCTAAAAGATTGTTTTCTCAATGAGGCACAAATCAAGGAACCAGAGGATCTGGTTCGCATTCTTGTTTCCTGTATGATTTTTGGTAGGTTTCCTCATCTGGACATTTGGAATAATAACTGCTCTCATCATGGGATTCTGAAGCTATATTATCTGACAGCAATAAAACGTCTTGAGATGTGTAGATGAGAAGGTATAGAGTCATGCAGAATCACAGAAATGTAGATGAAGAAGCAGCAACTTAAAGCTGATTGTTGTATCATATTTACTTTGACAAAACTCTTGCGTAGAGCACTGATAGTCCAGGCCTCCCAGTTGAGATGCACTGACACATGAAACATGCCCAGAGTGAGAGCTGATGAAGTGAGGTTTGTGGGTGGAAGACCAGATACACTTTCTTTACTGTATTTTCCACTGTAGAGTTCCCTTGCTTCTGTACAGAGAAGAGAGGTTGGTTAGGGAAGTGAGTGCTGGGGATGCTTGAGGCACTTTGTTCTCATTGATCTTGCATGCACAATGACATGTGGGGAACTGTTTGTTTGTTTATACACTACCAACCTGAAACAGGAACTCCTGGGGCCTAGCTGTATGTCATAAAGTCGAGGCTCATGTTCTTCCAACAAACCTAGCAAATATTTGGATTAAAGGGCAGTTTTGAATAATGTGTCTGCAAATAATGCAGCTAAGTACTAACTTAGAATCAACCAGGTTGGAAAAGGCCTCCAAGATCATCAAGTCCAACCCTACTGTGGTTACTAGACCATGGCACTAAGTGCCACATCCAGTCTCAGCTTGAAAACCTCCAGGGATGGTGAATCCACCACCTCCCTGGGCAGCACATTCCAATGCCTGAGCACTCTCTCCATAAAAAATCTCTTCCTAATATCCAACCTAACCCTCCCCTGGCAGAGCTTGAGTCTGTGCCCTCTTGTCCTGCTGCTGGTTGCCTGGGAGCAGAGACCAGCCCCCCCCTGACTCCAACCTCCTGTCAGGGAGTTGCAGAGGGTGAGAAGGTCTCCCCTGAGCCTCCTCTTCATTATCGATCAGCAAAAAGACGAGCTGTGTGTTTAGCAAGCAAACAGCATTCAGATCCCTCTGAATAATTACAATCCTTTCTCCCGTTCTTCCTAATGCAAAAATTGCCCATTATTTCATGTGCCCAGCGGTGTGGAGAACCGGGGTTGCGTTAATGATGACCTTCTCCTTGTTCTTGTCTCCTGTATTTGATCCTGTAGGCAGCTATAAAATAATGTATGGAGTGACAGGGATGGTATTTTGATTGTATCCAGCTGTTTGGAACAAGCTGAGGGCAAAGAGGCCTTCCATGCAGCAGTAGATCCATCCAAGCACCCACTAAAGAATACCAGAAATATTAAAATATAAGCCTTTTTTAAGCCTGTTCCTGTTGAAGGAAGCAGGTTGGTTAGATCCAAAGCCAGCTGTGAAAGTAGTTAGGTTGCAGCCATATCTACTGAAGTTAACATCAAAAGTTTCATTTTAATCATGCTTGGTTTTAGTTAGGGTTAAAATAGTTTTGAGTAGTGATTCGTATTTCTCTGTAACAAGCGTTTCAGTATTGATTCAGTGGCCTTTGGCTCTGGGATGTGGATTCTCCGAGCAGGAGGGTCCTGCAGAGGAAGCTTCTGCTCTTTTATACTTTTTCCAGGCAGCTTTGGTTCCAAGAATTTGGACTTGGAAGAGTGGGAGTGATGGTTTTAGCCCTTGAGAGGCAGGTGTGCTGCCCTGGGGCAGTGCTCGCCGTGCAGGCCTGGAGAGCAGCGTGTCACAGCCTTCTCTCCGCAGGTTTGGCGTGAGTTCCCTGACAGGCTGGTTGGGTACCCAGGCCGCTTGCACCTCTGGGACCACGAGATGAACAAATGGAAATACGAGTCAGAGTGGACCAACGAAGTCTCAATGGTGCTCACCGGGGCAGCCTTTTATCACAAGGTAACGTGCTGCTTGTGCTCTGCTAATGCACAGCCTGAACCTTTTGGCAAGAGCTGTTTGTGTTTCTGTCACTGCTTTTTGTGGTTCCATGGTTATGTTTTTTTACAACAAGCAGAGAACTGATGACAAACTGTCCCTAAACCTCCTTCTGTTGCTGTGAAACCAACTGATGACTCTGACTCTGAAATAAACCCATCACTTGCCTTCATGAACTTACAGAACTCTTGCCAGTTTGCATGGCCTGAAAGTACATAGCAAATTTCACAGTGAATGCAGCTTTGTAGCTATAGTTTAAGAAAAGAAAACCAATTGTAAAGAAATTTGTGTGCTAGGAAAGAAATAACTGTGCAATGAAGTGCCCCAAATTATGTTCTGTCTGCTGAAGTAGTCCTGGCTGAAGGCAGCATCACAGCAGCATCACTTGGCTGCCTGGTGGTCAGTGATTGAGATATTTAGTCTTGCATTACTCTGTATTTAAAATTATCCTCTTTCTCTCTACCTCTATCCTGCAGTATTTCAACTATCTTTACACCTATAAAATGCCTGGAGACATCAAGAACTGGGTGGATGCTCATATGAATTGTGAAGATATTGCCATGAATTTTCTAGTAGCCAATGTCACTGGCAAATCTGTCATTAAGGTGAGAATTTTCTGCTGTGGAGCTTACAGAATTTCAAAGTGTTATGTCCATACTTACATATATTTATTTAGTAGGCTGGAATATATTCCTCCACCTTTGTTTTCTCTCATTTTCCCCCAGTGTGGTGTTTTGTTCTCTTCGCATGGTAGAAAACTCCATTTAGTTAAACTTTTGTGCTAACTGGGAACAGAGAATTGGTTTGGACCAGCTGTTTCTGGTGGTTATTTTGGCCATCTAGGTAAGGTATGGAAAGGCCATTTAACTGACAGCTGTACGTGTGTGTGTGCACATATGTGCCCACATACATACATCTGAGATCACTAGAGGAAAGAAACTGCCAACTGTCCACAGCTCCCTCTGCCTGACAACAGCTGATTTATAGGAACGCTAATTGCAGGAACGTTAATTGCAAGATCAGCTTGAAATGAACTTTTTATCCCCGAATTAATTTCCTGACATGTTTCGACACGTTTAAGGTCTAGACATTTACTCCACACATTCATTTCCAAGTGTGTCAGCTTGGAATGAGATTTAGAGGCCACCAGGCGTTACTTCAATTAGCAGGGTCCGTTTTCCCCTCTGTCCATCATCATTTGCTGGGACTGGTGGCTGCATTTCCTAGAAAAGTCTTTAGAAGATGAAGTGTGTGTTTTTGCTGCAAACGTTTTCGAGCTGGCTGAGGGCACAGCGGAGTCATTTGGCACCTCTGTGCGATCCGGAGAGTCTCACAGAGTTTGCCAGTCAGCTATGAAGTGGAGTGAGCAAAAGAGCATCTGTTGGGCTAATGTTACGGTGGAGTATGGGAAGCTATATTTCATCGCTGTTATGGCTGCAAGAACAAATGGTGTTTATACAGGGACCTTGGCAGTGAGAAAACAGTCATTAAACAGGAATTAAGGAGCTTGTCATCGCCACTTCTTTGCAGTTACAGAAGGAAAAAACCCTCCAAGCCGTTTTTATTGGGCCCCTGTGAATTTTGCAGTCAGCCAGGCCAGATGGAGCTGAATGGAGGAATGGAGTGGCTTTTTCTCTCTTTTTTTCCTTGTTTTGTACACCCCCTCTGTTTGAGACAGCTCAGCTTACACTGCAGTGTAAGTTTTTCAGAGGTATCGCACTGCTCTCTGTGCGAGGAGATTAATGTCCCTTCTGTTGGTATCTGATGGTATCTGCCCTGCCTTTCTGCAGGTGACCCCACGGAAGAAGTTCAAATGTCCAGAATGCACAGCAATTGATGGGTTATCACTGGACCAGACACACATGGTGGAAAGGTGAGTGACCACTCTTTATTCCTCTGATTGCCTTGTTCTGAGCCCTAGGATCTTAACCTGTGTCTCATTAAATGAGGGTCAAAAATGCTCCCTGTGTTTCTGTAAACTGCTGATTTTGGAAGAGTGTTGCATGGATTTGACCAGCATAAGTCATTCCTACAGTGGGTGATGGGACACTGGAAAGTGGACTGCTGCAAAAAAGGACTTTAGAAGGACACAATTTTTAGTGTTTTGCTGTAAAGCTTATAGGACTCATCTATGAAATTCAGGTTCTGGGCAGTAATACCACAGTTCTGTTTACTGTGGAATATCAGCTGCAATAAATATGATGCTTATTTTTTTACACCAGACAGCTCCTAGCTTACCAAAGAGTAGCAAGGATATAAGTTACTAGTAAGGTCATTTGAAATGTTGTTTGTGCATTTTCTTTCCTCCAAAGGTTGTGAAACACATTGCTTCCACTAGTGAAGGGCAGTTGCCTGCACAATTGCATGTCACAGTTTTCAGCAATGGCAACATGGTAATATTTGTGTGAGAATTTACTTCTGAAGTGAAGTAAGCAGTTGGAAAGGCAGTGACTGTTCAGTGTGAAATGCTCAAAGTTTGGAAGTATGAGATTTGCATTCCCTTCTGTGCAGTAAAAGGCTTCCCAGCCTTGACCAAGACACTAAACTTCTCACTGCCTTGGCTTCTGAGTGTTTAAAATAAGGGAAAGTTTCTTCACTTTTCCAAGCTCTTCAATACCCATGTTTGAAATGGGCTGACAATAAATGTGCATACTGGTCATTAGGTGGAATTAACCTGAGATCTGGGGCTGACAAAGGCATTTCACCTTAAGCTTCTCAGGTCAGTTGTACCTCTTCTGTAAACTTTTGGAGAAGTAATTTGCAGCCATGGAGTTGATGGGGTAGGTAAGCAGGGCACAGTGCTGGGAGAGGCCACCAGAAGAGGACAAAATAAATAGGCCATGTCAGATTTGCACTGAGAGGCAGAACGTGGTTATCTGACCAGTTATCATATTAACAATGATCTTATTTTTCTGTCCTTCTCTGCATAACTCAGCAAATTGTAAGTGTTCTATGAGCTTTAATAAGGCTGGATTTAAGAAATGGAGTATGCAAGTCAGAAGTAAAATATACCCCATTAAGGTGATAATAGTTACTCTGCAGAAAAAAATACTTAATGAAGGGGCTGGAAGCTTTGTAGATCTCACATGTTAGCTGAAGGGGAAGCACAGGAGGCAAGCAGTTCTGTACTGCCTTACAGGGTGGACTACCTGAAGCCAGTTCAGCTTTCCTATGGTCATCCTGGGAGCATTGCAGCAGCACATAGGAATTTCAGACATGAACTAGGTTCTCATTACAGTTAAACACTATAAAAACAGAAGATGAAAAAGTGCTTTTTACTCCAAAGTGCATTATGATGCAGGGTAAAGGTCATGTTTCCATGTCTGTAGCAGTTTTTGTATGCTCAGAGTAAAGTGTCACTGACAGTTTATTGAGAACACATTTAAACTGTTGCTTTGCTTCTCTGTACTTTGCAAAAGTGAAGTAACCAAGTTGTGGGAAATGTTAGATTGACTCTGAATTCACAGTCTTATATTTGCCCAGCCAAAGGAGCACATGCTGAGAGAGTCTGAGTACAGGAGAAAATCTGGAGACCCATACAGCTTGGGTATATTCAGTCTTCATTTTGAAAGTCCTTAACATCATACTGAAACTGCTTCCTGCACCTGAAACCTTCTCACCTTGTGATCTGCCTTCAACAGAAGGGAGTCATTTGAAAGTCTGAAAGGGTTTACTTTTTGAATTTTCTGACCTAGGTATGCATTTTAAATGGATAATGAATGATAAAACACCCAGAGCAAATTTTCCTAACTTAGCAGTGAGTAAGGCTCTCATGTAGATGCATATATGTGTGTCTATATATGTATGTGTATGTATATATACATATATATCTATATATCAATCACACATGCACTAGCTATTTTCAGAGTCAGGAGAGAAGCTGAATGGAAAAAAATTCATGCATTAGGGAATCCTTGTATTACAAAAGGATAACTTTGTACTGCTAACTCTGCAGTGTTGAGTATCAAGAACAATACCTGAGGTATCAGGCAAAGAGTTGTTATCAGCTTCACTTGCAACTTCCCAAGGTGCCTAACTCCTTGGGTTTAAGCATTCAGAAGTAGCAAGCAGGTAGTCTGAGCTAATGGCTTGACTGGATATCCAGGGCTCGACCTCCTGTTTGAGAATCAAACACTTTATCAGGGTTGTCATGGACACACACAACGTTCAGTGTTAGGCCTCTGGTTCTGGCATAGCAGAGAGATGCTCAGCAGCTGCCTGATGGTTTTGTGAGTGGGAAAGATTTGAGGAGTCAGTCATGGAGGTCTGTCCAGGAAAGATGAGTAACTAACGAGTTCTGTTGGGCCTTTTGGTACATTCAGCAGAGATAAAGGGAAGATGGGACAGTTGAACTCTCTCTCTTGTTAAGAGATTTTAATTTTTTTAGCAATACAGTGAATCATGGGAGAGCCAACACTGCAACTCTTCCTTCCTGAGATAAATAAGAATTCAGTCCCCAAAGTTGTTGAACTCCACCACATAAACTGAAGAAAGCTGTGAACCAAGGATCCCCACCTGGGCCTAGGTTAGCCTTTACATCAGGTCACAGAAGAAGCTGTAGGAAGATCTCATAATCCCTATATTTACAAGTGTTGTTCAAAGCAGCAACAAGTTTTTTGCCTGTAGCATCTTTGCATCTGGCTCTCAAAAATGGAGAACTTTATGAAATGCAGTTTAGAGGGCAACTGCCTGTACAGTAAATACAGCAAAGGGCTGAGCTGCTCTGCAGCAACATTAACAGTGATGTTTTGTTTAGGACATGGAAGTGTTTAAGTCATTCCCTCAAGAGCCAAACTGACAAGGTAACAGTTAGCCAAAGGTTTCAGGTACAGACTTACCCTGCCACAAAGTGCTTTGGTTTATAACAGTGAGGAAACTGATGGAGAGAGACGTTAACAAACACTAAGTTCATCCAGTCTGTCAGGGACAATGAGGCTCCCAATGCTGGAGTTCACACAGTCTTGGTTTCTTGTTGAGCTGAGCAGGATTGCATGTTTTCAGCAAAGCAAGGGAAAAAAATCATTCCTGGAAGCAAACGTGCCCCTGTTAGTAGGAATTTGCAAAAGTATTGACATAGCCAAGAAAAACACCTTTCCTCCATACTGAGATGACATGTTACACTGTCTTGGCTATCTGGCTCTCAGTGTTTAATGTTCTAGGTGTACTTTCTGGTTTATGTTGTCCCAAAGTGGCAAAGGCTTCAGTAGTCAAGTGATTCAGTTCAGTGCAGGAGATGAAATTTTTGGAAGGAGGTCACTTTCTTTTGAACACATTCTGTGGCTTGTGTATGACATTTCTTTCCTCAAAAAAAAGCCAGTTTCTGATCTTTGATATTTCTTGAGGACTAACTTTGCTGGTTCTGCCAGTGTTTACAACATACTAATTCTCCCCTTTTTCATTGTTTCCCCTTTAACAATCAAAATTGGTGGTTAAAGACACTGAACTGCTCTGTTTGAATGGACTTGCCACCAGAATAAGTTTGGCTGTGGAAGGATTCCATCTTGATATTTTCTTGTAAGGCCTCATCTTAGATTTGACAGTGTAACCTCTGGAGAGGAGAGGTCAGTTTTGCCTCCACTCTCCGTTCAGTTGTGTGTTTTGCTCCGAGGTGCCGCTCCGTTCCGGCTGTGACAATAGCTGCTCTGATGTGGACACCTGCCCACCAGGCAGCAGGCTGAGATCACTAATTCATTTCACACCAACCACCAAGCAGCTGTTGCATTACAATATCTTTCAGTCATGACTGGCCAGGGCAGGATTTGAACCAGTAGACGAGAAGAGTTCTTGTGTTCCAGAAACCAGTGAGGGCCAGCAGCTGTGCAAACTTCTCACATGCACATCTCCTAGTGCATCCACCTCCTTGCCTGGAGGTTTGGGGCTTGCCTGCCATGACCTTTCTCGAGTGCACACAATGTGGATTAGTTAGCCACATTTCTCAGAAGTAACAGAAGATTTGAAAGTCTGACCTTATCTAAAAATCAGATATGTTTAAGGTATCTTATGTTGGGAATCTCATGGAGGCAACACAAACTGCTTAGTGTTCCTGGAGAAAATATTCAGTTCCTGCACTTCATGTTACTGCAGCATTACAGTGCCCAGCACCTAAATCTCACTCTCTCAGTGGTTCACCTTGTTACTGCAGGTGTTGAACAGCTACCTGGGCCTTCACTTCAGTCCTGACTGATGGCTCCTGTGCTGTGTCAGGTCTGTGCTACCCTGGAGCAGGTAGTGCTTGTGGCCAGTGTAGAGGTTGCTTCCCACTGCACACTGTTTCCTCTTACACTATGAATTCCTTTACATTTGGTTTTGGTCCCAACACTTTGAATTTGAAGGCAGGAAGAAGTATGAGGGGTCGGGAAGGTAGCAGAAAGTGAAGCACCTGCATTTACCCATGTAAATACCTTACTCCAGTATCTCCCCATATGAAGCAGTTTTCTGGCACTTTGCTCGAGTCAGAAAATGGCCTGAAATGTGACCATTATAGCTGGAAACAGCTCTGTAGGCTGAGGAATTAACTTTGAAAACTAGTCTTGCTGTCCCATCTACTTCAAAAGAGTGTTTAGGGCAGTGTTGAGCAGTCCCCATCACAAACCTGTCACACTCAGTTGGTGTGATTGACCAGGTCTGATGAGGAAAATTATTCTGGAGCCAGAGTGACCCCCTAACCCTTCTGAGGGGTCGGGAGAGGGTGCAGTGGTTGGAGAGCGAGAAACCTGCCCCGGGACTGCCTGCAGCATCTCAGTCTCTGTAGCTGAGTCAAAGTGCTCATTTCTGTTTTGTTTTCCCCTTTGAATGGTAAAAGAATAGTGACCTGTTTTCTCGTAGCTGTCT